GAGAAAGGTTCCATTTTGAGAACGCAAAGTAAAAAAATAAATAAAAAAGATCTTATTGAGCCCTACATTTTGGATAGTTTACTTCGATGAAACCAAATTTTGCTCTGGCTCAAAAAACTAAACTAACCAAGGTTGACCAAGTCTCCAAGGGCTCTTTTTTGTGTTTATATGTCATAAATATTTTCCTAACTTTATGCTGCAAAGAGCTTTTGATTGCGAGTAAGTAATTCTCATACCAAGTTTCCTTTTTCTTCATTTTCCCATTACACCATCTCGTTTGAGCGTTTCAATTTTTTAATCGTACAGATGAGTCATTGTGCCCCTGACACTTTACACAAAACAAAGAACATTTATTTTATGATTCACAACCCGTGACACAACAAGCATAAACTGGCGGAAATAACAAAAAGGCATGTAAAAGGAATTTGCACAATTATCAAAAGATGGCAAAGTTTTGAAGTTGGTCGAAGCTAAAGTACGAAAGTTGCCTACACTAAATATACTTATAAACTATATATAAACATTACACCGTAGTACAAGCGTTTTGAGAAGAAGAAAGAAAACCAAAGGGAACGGTCAGTATTTAGCGTTACCATGAATCAGCTCAGTGCGTGAATTCGTCGATGTTTCGGTGAATGTGGGCCCTCGTGATGAGACACTACTGGCCGAGAAAGCTGAATTCTTGTAAGCAGTAGCCATAGCCGGTGGTAATCCCTTATGGTTCATGGTTTGGTAACCACCAAACTTGTAGCCGAATGTGTTCATCGGGTCTCGCGATGATTTTATCACCTAAATAGCAAGATTTTTTGAACTGAGAACAGAACGTTAGGGGGTTGTTTGCTGGCTTCGTTTTGGATAAAGCTCCCGACAACGATAAGAGAGGGGTGTTTGCCTTGATGACACGCAGTCGGTGTCAATAATATTTGAGCTTTGGTGAGCGGCGAAGCGCCCAAAGTTGTTGTTTAATCAGTTCGGCTTTTTTGCACATGTGAGACGGATTGTTAGGAAATATCGATTCTAGCAG